AGATGGCACCTGGCTCTAGTGATCTGAAATATAAAAAATGACAACACGACAAAGTGGATTGCTTCCCCAGTGTTGACCTGTCACACAGGTAGAGTTACTGTCATATCAAATTAATCAGTTGAATTCAATGCTTATGAAAACTATGGGTCTGTTCTATGGGTAGGCTTATTATAGGCATAATATTTCATGTCCCTAACTCCTGCCAGACAGGGCTGGAGAAACAGAATCTATCCTCTTTTTTCGTCCACCAGCACTCCTGTCTTTAGCTGTCCAAGAACCTCTGGTGACATCTGAGGTCTTTCTTTTTTTGTCATTGTAATAGAGTCTATTCTTCTATCCTCTGCTGTCCTCTCTCTTATTGTTCATAGACTCAAAGCCAATTCCCACTCTGCTATCTCGCTGTGTTTCAAGATCCAATACGGATTTCTTACCATCTAATTAATGCCATGGCAACTTTTGTCATCTTTTGTGGAATATTGTTGACATAAAGAGTGAAGAAATTTTAAGATATAGAAAATATTTTACCCCAAAATGAATTTTTGGAAACCATAGCTTTCTTGTTGATGAGGAATTTGGGGGTGGGGTGGGAAAGGGTATGGGTTGACTCAGCAAACAGACTAAATGGATTAAACAACAAATAACAATCTCTCACAGAACTATAGAGTAGCAAGTCCAAAATCGAGGTACCAGTACTGCCAGATTCTGGTGATGAACCTCTTCCCAGATTGCAAAATGGCTGTTATTTTTCTGTCCTTTCACATAAAATGGAAGAAGGGAGGAAGGAAGGGGGTAGACAAGGAAGAGGAGGGATAACAAGGAGGAAAAACATTTCTGGCATCTTTTTTTCTTAATGTATTAAATTTATCTTGAAGGCACCACCCTCATGACCTCATGAAATTAATCTCTTCCCAGAAACCCCATTTCCTCCTAGTAGCAACCCATTCAGGGATCAGTCATCATATAAATGGTAACTATCTTCTTTGAGAAGTAGAATTGAATTTTCTTCAGGCAGAAATTCCTCTGGATTCTAGAGCTGAATTGCTGACACTTCTGGCTGAGCAGAGAAGACTTACCTGCTTCTGCCTACAGGTGCTGTCATCCCTGGAATCCTGTTCCTTTACACACAGCTCCTGAGCTGTTAGAGAACATATGGAAGTGTTGTGGTCAACACTCCCAGCCAGGGCTCAGAGTCTTCTTTGTTGTCTCTGCCTGGTGGAGCCAACAGATGCTTCTTGGACCCAAGACTAGGATTGCCAAGATGATCTCAGTCAACACAAAGAACTCTCAAAAGTAACAGAATGGTTCTTTCAAACTATTAAAACTTGGCTGCTTTGTATATGCAGTAATCACTAATCAAAATGTGCATCTTGCATAATCATTATAATAAATTGTGCTAAAAGGCTAAAGATAACAGATGGTAGAATGAATTAAAAAAAACAACAACAACAAACTAGCAGCCTGACCTATCTCCACCATTGCCTGGCTTCTCACGTCTCCAGAGAACTTCCTCAGGGAAGTTTTTGAAATTCAGAAGGTTGTCTTTGGACTTGATCTGTCTCCTTGTATCAAGTTTATATTTCTCTGGTTCTGAACAAAAAGCATGAGGACTATCTATAAATAACTCCAGTGTGACACAGGGAAACGCTGTCACCCCTGAACTTCAAGCTAGGAGACAAGACTTCTACTTAGAGTTTCAGGCAGTCCATTTGTTTTCAGTAACATGAGAACGCAGAAATGTCAGGAAGTCAGTTGTGGCACTAACCTTTTACACATTTACTGACAACCATGTAAAATGCATAGAAACAAAAGCAAACAATGTCCCCCATAACTCAAGAGTAAACCTAGTCACCCTGAAAGAAGAATCTATAGAGGCTGAGTTGGAGTTTTAAATTCAATGTCTGAAAATATTTGTTAAAATTGGGTCTGAATGAATCAGTGGCAGGTGCAGACTAGTCTGTCCTTACAGCTGCCTCCATTTTGTAAGATGCAAGAGCTGAGTTTGATTCAAGCAAGTGCCTTGGTGGAATGACAAAGCAGATTTCCAAGCATAGTCAAAGAGATACAGAACACTCAGTTAAGGGACTTGTGTTCTGAGGATGGATGGTTTTGAGGGGAAACATATTACTTAGTTGATTTTGAATAAAATACTTGCATAGATTGACCTCAATATCCGAATTAAAAAATAAGGGATAATAACTATAAAGGATTCTTTTAAATCAAGTTCATGCCCATTTCAAGAATGAAAGAATTTCAAAGATCAAATATTAGTATTATAGTTTTGGTAATTTGCCTTCTAGCACTTTTGCATTTCTTTTTTGTCAATTCTAAAAAAATATTTTAACTCATTTTTCAGAAGTCCACTGCTGATTATTTGATAGATTTTGGTTAATTGGGCCACTTTGCTCATAGACACTCATAAAGTTAATTCGTACTTAGGTGGGACACAAATAGTGACAGAAATATTGTACAGAGACGAGATTTCAAAAATAACCCTTCACTCAAAAAATTAAAAATCAAGAAGATATTATTTGAATAAGAAACGTCTCCCATGGGCTCCTGGACTTGAATGTTCCAGTCGGTAGCATTGCTGGAAGAGATAATGGAAACTTTAGTAGGTATGGCAGTTGCTGAACGAAATACATCACCAGGGGTGGGGACTTGAAGAATGATAGCCTTGTCCTACCTCTTGCTCTCTCTGCTTCTTATGTGTGGTTGAAATACTATCTTTCAGCTTCCTGCATGCCTTCTCTACCACTGTGGACATACAGTCTTCTGGGACCATAACCCCAAATAAACTCTTTCCTAAGTTGGTTGTAGTTATGGTATTTTATCACAACAACAACAACAGCAACAGCAACAACAACAACTCACACAGGAGGTGATAATTTCAAATATACTGACTTATAATAAGTTTTTCTCTCTTTTGAGCTCATTTCCACCTGTATAGTCCTGTAATTTACAGCTATTCTGTGATTTCATGATTCCCTGTCTCCTGTTCATTGTGTCCTCAGTTTCTTGTCCTCTGCAGCTGAGAGCTCTTCATCATTTTAGTCACACTCATACATATATTATTTACTCCCTGCTTCTCTTTCCTTTCATATTTCTTCTTGAGAAATTTTTTATTACAAAGTGCAATTTCTGGGTGTGTCTTTAAGATTGCTTCTTGATGAGTTTAGCTTTGATTTTTTTCAACTCGAGTAGATACCCCTTCTCTAAACAGGTGTTCGTTATTTTATCCATTGAAGGAGGGAACAGTTAGAACTGTGAGAGAAAGAGTGAATTTACTCTCCATGTTTCTATTTAGTGGGGACTTCCATCTTTTTCTACCCATAAACATTGGGTATTTAGACTCTGGAAGTTACATCAGCATATCCCTCTTCTTTGCCAATATACCAGCCTTCAAACTCAAACCAAACTCCACCCACAACCCTCTTTATTCTTGAACTTGCAAACAACAAATCTTCACATGAGACTTCTCCACATCCATAATTAGATAAGTAGAGTCCCATGATAAATCACCCGTCTATCATCTATATATCTATGTATCCATAGATTGTCAATATAATTATGTATCCATCTCATTGGTTTTCTTTCTTCAACGTCCTTGATGCACAGAGTAAATACTATAATATGTTGTCATTTGCTCTACTTATGAATTTTAAGATTCATCTGTGTGGCTAAGGCTCATTTCTTTCACTTTTGAAAACTGCTATTGAATATATTATGATTTTTTACTCTCATGTTAATGAAAATTTGAGTTATTCCCAGTTTTTGACCTCATGAATAAATCTGCTACAAATTTTCTTGTATAAATCTTTGTGAAGTGGCTGGAGAGATGGCTCAGCAGTTAAGAGCATTGACTGCTCTTCCAAAGGTCCTGAGTTCAATTCCCAGCAACTACATGATGGCTTACAACAATCTATACAGGGATCTGATGCCTTCTTCTGGTGTTTCTGAAGATAGAGTACTCATATACATATAATAAATAAATAAATAAAAACTTTGTGCAAACATATGTTACTTTTCTCTTGGGTCAATATCAAAGTTGCTTCATATTATGAAGGTAGGTGCTTACATTTACAATCAACAAAGAAGCCAACCGCTTCCTTGAGGCCTTTCCCATTAGTTGCTCATATCTGCTCCAGTATATGTCATTTGTACCTAGTAGTTTTGTTTCATAACAAAACATTTACTGTCATAAAATAGCACTGATCTGAACCAGTACATAGTTACATAGAATACATAGATGAAGGCCAATCACCTCACTTATATTATTTGATTCCATTGCCAACTGAGATGATGGAATGACTTGTTTTCTGTGTTTCAGAAACCACTAAAGCTTATCTACATGATATCTAGGTTTTAAAGTCAGTAAGAAAAAGCAAGTTCTAGTACATCTGTACTCTCAGACCTCTGCGTGGCTCGTGTTTGCTAGTGTCTCAGGAGCCCAAGAATATGCCACGGCCCAGGGACATATTTAAATGATAAAATTATAGAGACCTTCATTTACTGAGAGGAGCTGTGACTTTAAGGAGCACTGATGCAGGATAGAAGGTAAAAACATCAGCTTATGTAAAGTAGTAGTAGAAAGGGCTTAGGGCAATCTGAATCTGCTGGTACTTCAGATACCATAGTGGGACCAAGAGAAGAAGTTCGTGGAGAAGTAAATGGAAGTGTCTTCGCCAGGCAGGAGTCCCAGTCTATCCTCCTAACTGATAGAACCACATCTAAGTTGGTCTCCAGGGCCATCAACCCAGAAGGGGAGCTGGACACAGACAAAATGAGAATAGGCCATTTCCCAGGGGACATATCTACCATGTGTGGCACTTGGTACTTCTAGGAGTAATGGCTACTGTTACACTCACGTTCCTTTAAATCTTGCACAAGTTCCTCTTCAGAATAAATCTAAACAAGAAGAGGAAATGAAGTCTGCCTGGGTTTTCAGGGTTACCAGCATACCAGTGTGGGCTGTGCTCAGTTTCACAACTGTGGTTCTCTAGCCTAAGTCCTTAGTTCCAGTTTGTGCAAAACAGAATCATGTCTCCTTCCTCTGCTGACTATGTATCTCCAAAGAAGTCAAGGTACCATCTAATTTCTGACTTTTTTTTAATATAAATTAAACCATCTTCTATCTTGCCTCAGACTACCAATTTATCTAAGGGAACTTATAGCTAATTTTAAAATATTCTTTGGGTTTTTTAAACAATACCTTGCTATATAGCACAGGACAGTCTGGAACTCAGCATGTATTTTGAGCTGACCTCAAATTTGCAACTTTCCCAAATCAGCTTCTGGAGTGCTGGGATAATAGGTATGTACCACCGTGTCTGGCCTCCATTTAGACTTGTAAAACATCCTAGCTTGCATTTGCTGACTAATTTCTACATCTCATTTTCATATCCCTTTATTTTAACATGTCCGGATGTGAACTTTAAATTGCTTAACACTCTGACTTTACTCTGATTTAGGGTCCTGCAGGACAATTCTTTGTGATCTGCAATGTTGCACATTGGCCAGCTTGTTTTCTAGTACCCCACATTGATTGAGATTTCCAGGTAACAGTATTCACTGTATATTTCTTACCTATAACATACTACCCAGATCGCAGTAGATAGGAATTAATAGTGGTAACTGAATGGCTTTGGCAAAATATTTTCACTTTCTGAAATGTGGAGTCACCCAGTTTTGTAATACAGTCCGAGATTAAATTACTTGTGAAACCTTACCCTCTTCTAGTAAAAGCTTCCTTTACAGTAAGAGTTAGTCTATGTAGAGGGGGAACACTAGGGCCATGTTTCCAATAAAGTAATAATCTAGAAAGTTATAAAGTGGGAATTCCATCTAGCTAGCATTATCATTTAAAAATGGTCAATCTTATTTGAGTGACTAAGACAAACACAAATCTTGTCAACTATTTTCACACGTAATCCAGTGTTTTCCCATGTTCTTATAAAACTATCTTATGGATCTAACACACTTCGGGAAATGTAAATCAAATGTGCTCTCCTCTCTATCTGATGTTAAATGAGATAAAGGAAACTCTGTATTGAAAGAAATGTATAAAGATTCCCCTGGCATGTGTCTGTCTAGATCAGCATTTTTTAAGATCAAAGCACATATCCAAGCTTTCACCCTGCTCCCAAAGTTCCCACTTCCCTTACTTATTGCACCATTTTGAATTGATCAGCCACACAAGAGTGAAAGGCCACATTCTGACCACAGGTAATGAAACACAGAATCCTCTTACATTAGGAATACAAGTCCAGCAGGACCACTCCTGGGTGTGCTTGCTATCTTGATTTGGCTTGGCCACACGTCCTCCTCAGAAATAGAACATTTCATCTTGCCTAGATACTTTGGACTGTGCAATCATTGCACACACTCAAAGACCCTGTATTTTCTGCCAAAACAGTCTTCCCGTGCCATCTTCATTTTGGAAATTGGCAGTGCCAATTTGTTACTTACTTAAACCTAAATTTTTACCACAACTTTTATTTTTCCTCTATCCCACATACCAAAACCTATCTGTGAGGAAAGGTACCTGGATGCTTCTTCACAACACACCGAGTCTACCAGTTCCCAAACTCTGCCTGAGTTGCTTTTGTTGCTATAATAAAACATCATGACTAAACTAAGGAAATTTATGAAAGACATTATTTATTTGGGGACTTGTGTTTCCAGAAAAGTAGAAGAGTTCATGATCATCATGGTGGGAACAAGGAGACAGGCAGGCAAACATGGCACTGAAGTAGTAGCTGAAAGCGTCTATCTTATCCACACGTCGGAGGCAGAGAGGGTGTGGCAGGTAGGAAGAAGTACAGGAAGAGATGAAAGCAAATGCTAACTGGGAATGGTGTGAGCTTTTGAAACCTCAACATCTACTGCCAGTGATCCACTTCCTCCAACATGTCTGTGCCACACCTCCTAATCCTTACTAAACTATTCCACTAACCAGGAATTAAGCATTTCACTATATAAGCCTATGGAGAACACTCTTATTCAAACCACCATATTCTCTTATTCTGTAGGCTGCTTTTTTTGATGGTGCTTTGTTCTAAACAACCTCCAAAGCATTTTAAATGCTTTACATGGTTTCTTCCTTTCTCCTCATCTAACAGTATTTACTTTTGATAACATCTCTAAATGTCTGCTCCAAATTTAGTTGCTTCCAGAATAAATGCCGTGAGCTTAACAAGTGGTATAGAGTATGCTCCCTCCCCACCCTGGGTCTCTCTGAAATATCCTTTTATGCTTCCCTTTGCTGGGTGCCAGAAAAGCACAGAATGACCACAGCATGAAACCTTCTACCTCAGAAACTTCCCTTGCTGGCGACCTCTTACCCACAGAGGTCTGGGTGGCTTACCCTCACTCTTACCTAGGTCAGGTATCTCTTCAAATGCTACATTATCAGAGCAGCCATTCCTATGCCCTTCATATAAAATTGTAACTGCCTACCCACTTTCCATGTTTCATGGTTCGTTTACCTTACTTCCTTTTTCCTCACCTAATTTGAGACAAACATAATTTCTTAATTTATTTATTATGCATTTATTATCTGTCTCCTTTTACTGAAGTGTAAATTCATGAGGGCCAGGCCTTTCTGATTTTTCTACCCTTCTGTTGGAGTTTGAATAAAAATGGCCCTCATAGGCTCATAGAGGGTGGCACTCTTAGGAGATGTAGCCTTGTTAGAATGAGTGTGGCCTTGATTGAATAAGTGTTCCCTTGTTGGAATAAGTGTGGTCTTGTTGGAGGAAGTGTATCAATCATTGTGGACAGGCTTTGAGGTCTCAGATGCTAAAGTCAGGTCCAGTGTCTCACTCCTTCATCCCACTGACTGCCAATCCAGATATAGAATGTTCAGCTACCTCTCCAACACCATGCTACCTGCATGTCTCTATGCTTCCCACCATGATGATAATAGGCTAAACTTAACTGTAAGCCAGCACCAACTAAGTATTTCCTTTTATAAGAGTTGCTGTGGTCATGGTATCTCTTCACAGCAACAGAAAACCTAACGAGGACACCTTCTTATATATCTAACCCCCTGGAACTAGGCCCTGGACATAGCAGTCATCTAATAAGTGCATTAAGTGAAGGAGGGGTGGATTTATGGCCCTAAGCACATTGCTCATGTTCTGAGTTCATCCTCTGTGGTTCTTTACCTTAGAAAAACTGACTCTTTGTTAAAGGAAGCTTACTTTTAATGAATTTTGCTTTAATCAATGCACATTGACACTATGAACAATCTGTTTACATGTGTGTGGTGGGGTGTGTATGCACAAATAGTGTGTGTCAGATATGCGATATGCAAAAACTGAATATTTCACAAATGTAAAGAATTACTGGCAATTCAGCAAGAAGAGAGTAGATTCTAGTTAAATTGACAGGATATGAACTGTAAAGAGAGAGAGAATATGCTTTATCATAATCATTAAATTTCATTCTTTTTCTTTTTAATCTTCATGTTATAAAACTTTAAGTTAATCTTTACACTCCTAAAAGGTGTTAAAAATTATCTGAAATCTTCTTAGACAAAATTTTATTAGTCTCTTCTGTGCAGTTTCAGGTTTTGCTTATTTATTTTAGAAATTTATGCAGTTTAAGCAATCATATCTCACAGAAGAATAACCAGTTTTATTTCATTCTGCCATTGTTAAACATAAGCAGCACAGTCAATCACTGCAATAAACAAAGTGAGAAATGAAGTCAGCAGCCATGCTTTTAGATGGGAAATACAGGTTCAGAGTCTAACTAGCTCACTATGTGGTTCATGTTGATTTCCAAGTCCAAATGCCAAAATATTCATGCTCAGCTGTCTATATAGAATCTTAACTTAATTTGATGGCCTTTTTTTTTTCATAGTAAAAAAAAAAGAAGAGATCTATCTTAGTATTCTTCCAGCTGTTCATGCCCTTCTGTCACACTCATGGATGCATCATTTTCTACGACCCACGAGTTTTTGTTGTATTGTTGCACAGGGCCGCCCCATGGCCGGGACTTGAGTGGACATTCACGTCTTCTCCTTGTGCATCTCACTTGAGCAATGTCCGCAAGTCTCGATCTCATCAAGAAACTTCTTTCCATGCATAAATTTTATATGTCACCTTGGAGGTCTATGAAAGATAATCTTGTTTGTCAACTTGATTTACCTTGGAAGAGGGAGCCTCGATTGAAGAATTGCTCCATCAAATTGACATGCAGGCATATATGGGGGCATTTTCTTGATCAATAATTGATATAGGAGGGCCTTGCCCATTGTAGATGTTTGAGTCCTTGGACAGGTAGGCCTGTGTTTTATTATGAACTAATTGGTGGTTTCCACCCCACCTCTAGATCATTCAGTTCCCAAATACCTTTATATTTATCATAAGCCTTAACAGCACTAGAACTGAGCAGATATCAACCTTTTGACCTATTTTGTCTATTCATCTATCAAAAACCCCAATATATAACTTGTCATGTTCCACCTGGGCACTCTTACTCCAATTGGCCAGCCCTCATGACCATGTTTTCATTCACCTACCACATGATGTGTCTTCTCCTCTCTCCCTTCTCTCTCATCTCCTCCTTGTGGTCTCTGCTCATGTGGGAAATAGGCCACAGCAGAGTCCCGGAGACTTTCCATATGGTGGGTCTCACAAACAAGAGAAAGGTCTGGAGTTCTAAAGGCTGAAGGCTTTGGCAGTGGCAGGCCCCAAAGACATGAGAAAGTCCATAGTTGCAAAAGAATTTATTTTCATGGCAGATGGTAAATGGATCTGGATGTACCCCCCTGAAACTCAGGGCAGACCTGAGTTAAATAGAGAGGGAGAAAGGGGGAGGGTCTGGGGAAGAATGTTTAATTGGCTCCGCCCTCTGGCCTTCATTAGTATGTAAATCTAGGGCCTGAGGCCTGTAGTCACACTCTCTACCTGTGCACTTTGGAAGGGGGTGTAATGGCCTACATGACTGAACAATGTAGGTCCATGGAGACTAGATTGCATATCAGGACCCTGGGTTCTGGGGACGTGGCCAGACATCTGCCATTTCTCCCTTGGAGTCTCGGGGTTTTGGGCCCATGCCCAGCAAGGAACCAACATACCCTTATGCAGTCCCACATGTTCAGACCCTAATCCTCTGGGAATGGCTCTTCTTCCCAGCTACAGGTTTTAGGCATCTTTACTGACCAACCAAGGATAACTTGCCAGGCAAGGTTACATAGCACTATTTGGTGTATGTGAGGATTTCCTTGTCCCTGGGTTCAACTAGACCTTGGGGGCCAGTATTTATCATCCCAATGCATAGCAACAGACCAAACTTCAACAGGCCTGGGCTGTATAAGAAAAGTAGCTAAACAAGCCATGAGGAGCAAGATTGTTAGCAGAGTTTTCCCATGGTCTCTGGTTCAGGTCTGCCCTCAGGTTCCTGTCTTGATCTCTTGCTATGACTTCTTTGGATGATGGGCTCTAACCTTTAAGCTAAAACAAACTCTTTCCTCTCAAAGTTTCTCTTGGTCAATGTTTTATCAGAGGAAGACAGAAATAAACTAGGGCAGTATCTTACTTGGAGCTACTGTAAAGCTCAGTTTTTGGCTATCTAGTAGAATCTACTACACCATTTGTAAATGCCAATTTATTTTCTGTTTGCTTCACAGAAGTACGAATTCTTCAGGTCTGGAGTCCATCCTGCTCATCTTTTAAGAAATGCACAATGCCTGTGATTAAACCTCCAGCCAAGACCTACAGATAAACACAAAGCAACAAAAACTGATGTATATAGTAGAAGATGTAAACATGAAACAGAACAAAATTTATGTTATATTTAATAAAAACAGCAAATAAAGTGCAAATTATATACTATTAAGAGAAAAATAAATCAATGACCAGAAATTAACATAAAAGGAATACAGATGGTGGAGTTAATAGTTAAAGACATTAAAACAACTGTTATAAGCACATTTTTTAAAATGGTAACAGATACCAAACTTTTCAGCCTTTATAATTCCCAGCTCCTGGAAGTTTCATAGGTCTGAGATGTTATGACTCTTGCTATACGCAGTCCACTAATACCCTGTCCTAACTCACCACAACTTCATGCTTGTCAGTCACACTGTAATTCCAAACCAGTAATAACCTTTCTTAAAGCTCCACATCTGACTCATTTTGAGATTTCTCCTTAATTGTGATTAGTTTTGTGCAATGTGATTATAATGATGAACCTGAGTATTTACTATTTATTAGTCCTAGGGTTCACTTAAATTTTTGGATCTGTATTTTTATAATCTTTATAGTAAAAATTTCAACCACTAGTTTTCACATAACTTTTTTTTATTCAGTTCCTTGGCATCCACCATGACTCTGCCCATTTGTGTTTTCAATACTCACAGATATCAGGGCCAGTGGTGCTATTAGACTCTCCTGAGAGTCTATTCATTTTTTCAACAGTGTTTTCTTTTCTCTTTCAGTTTGGATAACTTCCATTTCTGGGCCTTCAAAGGGAGTAATCCATTTTCCTGTAATGTCTTGTCTGGCATCAATTCAGTGTGTTTCTCAATATCGACACTGTATTTTTTTTTTAATTTTTAGATGTTTCTAAATTGAAGTTAACACATTTGATCTGTTTTCTGGATTCTTGCACATATGGTTTTCAGTAATGATAACTGTTGTAATGTTCTGCCTGCTAACTCCATCATCCGTATTGTTTTACTCCTTTTGAATTAACTTTTCTTTTCCTTAATGGAATATATCTTGCTGCCTAAACTGGTTTTTGTTGGCTATCAATAATTGTGAATTATACAATTTTGGTACTGAATGTTTTTGTAGTTCTATAAAAGTTCCTGAGATTTCTTCCCTTGTGATGATGTTATTGAAAATACTATGGTCTTTTTAAGTGTTATGTATGAAGCGTGTCTTAGTTGGGGTTTACATTGCTGTGAAGAGACACCATGACCAAGGCAACTCTTATAAAGAAAAGTATTTCATTAGGGCTGGTTTACAGTTTGAGAAGATCAATCCATTATCATCAGATGACACTGTGCAGGCATGGTGCTAGAAAAGCTATGAGTTCTACATCTTGATACAAGAGGCAGCTAGGAGGGGCCTATTTATGCACTGGGCAAAGCCTGAACGTAGCAGACCTCAAAGCCCACCCACATAGTGACAACAAAACTACACCTCCTCCAATAAGGCCAAACCTCCTAACAGTGATACTCTCTGTGGTCAAGCATTAAAACACATGAATCTTCTATGGGCTGGGGGAAGGTGTTGCTATTCAAATAACACAAGGTCTGTTAGGAGAATATACATTATTATTGTTGTTGTTTAAATCAGCGTCTCAACTAAGTAGGCCTGCCTTCTTTGAACTCACTATACAGTCCAAGCTGTCTTAAAACTCACAGAAATCCATGTTCCCTAAAGGCTGAGATTAAAGACATATATTACCTAGGCACTAATACCTTATTTTCTGACTTCTTTGTTTAAATGAATCTATATTCAAAATTTCATTTCAAATATCTCTAATGCTAGAGCTAAAGTGTATCTACTAATAAATGTTTGTCACAGGGCCACATGGTTTTTACACATATAGAACCCAAATCACTGATTGCAAATGTGGAAGTGGAGCACTAGGAAAAATGGCTGAATTAAAATTGTGATTTACAAAAACCATTTTAAAACATCCTTAGTTTATTAAATTTTAGGATGGGGATATAGTTCTCTGAAATTCGCTTATCATGCCCAAGGCTTTGGGTTCTTTCCATTTTTGGTGCAGCAAAAACAAAACAAACAATTACTAAAAAAAAGACTATAAATTCCTTTTAATTGAAAGAGGAAGAGAGGAGGTTGCTTGTGAACCTATACTGTGAAGCAAAGTTATATTCTAGTTCCAGTTTTTGAGTTTCTGAGTGCTTTACATTTCAAATGAGTTACTTTGCTTTTGGACAGTTTACTTTCCCTCTCTGTAAAATGGGGTGGCAATAATCCCACGTTGTGAGTTCATAGAATAAAGGCTCTTGGATGTGTGCCAAGCCTGAAGCAATGGCTGAGCACTCATAAGACCAATCAATAGGGGTTTAGGGGTTTTAAAAGTTCCAACTGAGTTTGTTGAAAAGATAATTCCTTCTTTGAGTGATCCTGTAGCACCATTAGTGAGAAGAGCTGATCCATAAGTAAGGATAAAAATCCCCAGAATATCATGGGGTTACATCTAGCTTTCTGGAACCATATGGACTGCATGATTTTATATTATAAACTATAAAGCTTGTTGTAATAATAATTTCAAAATGTGGTGGGGAGATAATCTGTGCCAAAATTTGATTTCTCATTTAGGCAGACCCTCAGAGGCTTGCTCTGTTTCTGTTGATAGTAGGAAGTGTGCCTTTCTAACCACTTCCCTATGAGGTTGGGCTACTGCTGTCCTTAGTCAAATCTCTCTTCCTTCTAAAGTCTAACTGGGGCAGTGACTGCATGCTTAATAATAATTACATTATTATTGCTGTTATTACAATGACAGCAATTACAACTACAATAATGGTAACAACAGCAGCAATAGTAATAACATTTCCCTTTTTCCCAGTCTCCGATAGAAAGCAAGTTTGAAATCCCCTAAGCTGAAACCGAAGGCAACTGCCTGGATGATGCAACGTGACCAGTGGGCAGCCTGAGGGAGTGCTGAGGTATGGTTGCTATGTTCTGCTACCCATTTACCTGTTTCATTTCCCCTCTGCAATGCAGTTTCGTTACCTGTGGGGTAATATTATCACCCTCCTGAGTGTTTGTCACATGTCAAGTACATTTGTGGCATTATTCTTCCTTATTCTCATTTTTTTATTCACTTTCTATTCTGAGTGCACCCTCCTAGCCCCATGCCCACATTCTCCGTCTCCCTAGTACCACCTTCCTCAGAGAAGGGGAACTCCCCCATGGGTACCAACCCACAGCAAGTCACAGCAGGACTAAATGAATCCTCTCCCACTGAAACTGGACAAGGCAGGCCAGCTAGGGGAAGGGGATCCAAAGGCAGAGAACAGAGTCAGAGACAGCTCCCATTCCAGTTTTTAGGGGATCCACATGAAGACCAAGCTGTGCACCTGCTACAAATGTGTAGGCCTAGATCCAGCCCTGCATGCTTTTTGGTTGGTGGTTCAGTCTCTGTGAGCCCCATGGGCTCAGGTTAATTGACTCTGTAGATCTTCTTGTAGTGTCCTTGATCTCTCAGGCTCCCTCAATCCAATCCCCCACTCTTCCACAAGACTCCCCAGCTCCTCCGAGTGTTTGACTGTGGGTCTCTGCATCTGTTCCCATCAGCTGCTGGATGAAGCCTCTCAGGAGACAGTAATGCTAGGCTCCTGTCTGCAAACCTAGCAAAGTCTCATACATTGTATCAGTGTTTGATTCTCTCCCATGGGATGGGTCTCAAGTTGGGACAGTCATTGTTTCACCATTCCTTCCATCTCTGCTCCATCTTTAATCCTTACGAATCTTGTAGGCGGGGCCAAAGTTTGGGTTGAAGGTTTTATGACTGGGTTGGTGTCTCCCTCCCTCTACTGGAAGTCCTACCTGGCTACAGGAAGTGGCCACTTCAGTCTCCACATTCTTGTTTTACTAATAAAGAAAATGGAAGTTAGATATCTGGCCCATGAGCATTGAATGAACAAAAGGCAGCACTATCTCTAAAGGATCCAGTATCCTTTCCCGAATCTGGCATGTAGCAGACATGCAGCAAGTCACAGCTGCTATTTTAACTCCTATTCCAAAATGACATCAATCATTAACAATAAACATATGGATTTACTTTAAAGACAGAACTCTAAGGCCTAGTATCATTTTGTGCCCTAGCACATATATCACATGCAAGGTTTAGACAAACATACATGCTACTTATGTGGCTTGCTCAATGATTTAACCCCATAATGAAGACAGGTTCTATCAGTCTATGCTGCATTACCTACAGAATAAGGAACACCAGACTAGGCATTTCCTAAAACAGCATACTTCTTAAAATTGTTTTGTGATTCCCCTCATTCCGTTCTTGTGACATTTCTCTATTTTTATCTTAACAATAGATGCTTAGGACACTGTTTCTGAATGAAATCCAGTTATTCTTTGCTTAAAGCAGTACTCCCTTCATGCTTAGCCACACTGCATCGGTATATGGTGTTGTGATTTCCTGCAAGACACTTTGCTCCTCTTAGTCTGTGGTTCTTTATACTTAAAATGTGTTTGTTTTGATCCACAGAGCTTTTCTTCCTTTAAAGTCTGGCGTTTGCAGCCATGGGTAACCATGTCAAGGACATCCCTGGCTCAGAATTAAATCTACTCTTCTGTGTGGTTAGCTACTTAAAGCTGTGCCATTTTTACACATGGGACATTTATATCAAGTTATGGTGATATACTTTATTACTTCATCAAAATTTGTTGCTAATATTGTTTTCTCACCATTTACTCTATATTCATTTAGAAGAATTCTATGGAAATTCTAGAACTTGGCTCACAAAGGGGTCCTTCCATTGTCGTCTGTAGATCCAGTTTATGGAAAGATTTGGAGGACACTTCTGTAATCATAAATTTAACACTTCTGACTTTGAATTTATTTTACATATAAAATATGAAGTCATTATGTGATTGTACGTATGTATGTAACTCTCAACAATATTACGATTGCAACTGTCTGACAGCCTAGATTCTGCCGAATGGAGAGAGCTGGGCAGTCATTTGTCAGAGTTGAACGATTTAATTTTAAGCAGCTGCTTTGCAACTAGATGGTAGACTCATCCTGTTCTTAATCTCAAGAACAGAGGGAATTATTTTACTTAAGGATGCTTAGTACTTCCAGGTTTATGAGAAAGGCCACCTATATGTCCTAAACCTCAGGGACATAGGTCAAATTTGACTCGAAGTTACAATGGGCTGAAAAAGAATTTGTTTTGTCTTTGTGCGTGATTTTCCAGTCCAAGCATTTCTTAGTTTAGTGTAAGATCCTCAGCTTCGTATTTAGAAGGTTGGCCACACTCATTCGTTCTATCTGCTTGCTCCCAAAGGGTACATGAAGACTTTTGCATGTTGTGCTGAACACTTTATATCCATTTTATTCTCAGACAGATGAAACCATTATCTGCTAACAAATGGGAAAGGGTGGCTCAAAGAGAACCAGCCCTAAGTCAAGATAAGTGTACAGACGGCCTGAGCACCAGTCCCAAGCAATGACAGATCTTGGGTTTACATAGATTCCCCAGGGTCCGCGTTTTTCAGCATCCCTCCATTTTATGACCATATTAATCCTTTCACTTCGCAAAGACACACTGCTTGTTTATCTCAATGTCTAGACAAATGGATTCCTTCCTGGATACACTTTTTTTTAAGCCTTTAGTAAACTCAGTAGTATTTAATGAAGGAACTCCAGTGTTCAGCTAAGAGAACACCTGGGGTGTGAGGATGATGAAGAGCAGAGAGAGTCTGTGTCTAAGGTTCAGAGTCACAGATAATAAGCTGCAGAATGTCAGCAGCTATTTAATCCTGTCAACGCTTGCCCTCATCACAGTTCCCTCCCGGACACCAACTCCTAAATCTAAAGAAGTGTCTTCATTCGGGAGCCTTCCCTCTAACCAGCCGGCCTAGAGGAGGAGCCTTCCGGCTCTCAGAATTCGCTAGCTGTCTCCTGGCAACGCAACGGCAGACACGGGAAGCCTCGAAGGCCTTGCGGTCTCAGTCGGCCCTGCTGGAGGCTGCCCGGTGGGCCGCAGGCATGGCTTCCAAACAAGCTAAAAGGAAAGAAGTGCAACGGATCAATTCTGCTCACGGATCAGATCAATCTAAAGAGTAAGGGACCTTTATCACCCAATGCCTTCCCT